TTTCAAGCTTACATAAAAGATTAATGGATTATGAAATGAAATCAATTTAAAATTGATATTTTCAATAATTATTTTGTTAAGAATAAAATGTTCACTTATGTGACTTTCAAATGAATCTAGATGTTAGTAATTTAGTATGCTGTTAGTTAAGAAGAAACTATACGTACATGGTGGTGTATACTGTGGGTGATTAATATAATAGGCAATCCAAGAAGTGAATCCCCAATAAAAGGCACAACCCTACAAATAACACAAGACCAAACAGAAGTTATAGAAAATATATACTACACAATACATTATATTAAAATACCCAATTATATTCAACACTGAAACATTTTTAATATCTTTCTTTAAATCTATTCCTTGACAATTTCATCCAGGTGAAAAGTGCATTTTGGTTACTATAGCCTCTCCTTCTTTAATCTCCTCCCCTTTCCTTAGTCCCTTTCCTTTCCCACGTGTGTGTGCATGACTGAATTTAATTGGGATAATTCATGTGACCAGGTTGGCTCTTCAGCGGGTATACAACTGAATCAAATAACTACCCTTCCCCTTGAATTCATCATTCACCAAAGGTATTTATGCCTAGTTTGTAAAGCTGGTCAAAAGCCCGTGGCTGAGGAGGCCATGGACCCTGGGAGAGAATGTACTATTTTTAATTAACAAAATTATACCGATATTCTAAGTATGTTTATATCCATAAACAAATGTTGCTCCTACTCTTAATCAAGAAACTATTCCTTGTAAAGAACAGTGCTGTATGAAGTCATATTTGGCTGCTCAAGTGTTTCAGAATAAGTAAAATTTAGTCATAAACTATAAAAAAGACAGTTATAATCCTCCCCATGAAGGCTCAGGAAATACATGGCAGAGGGTGCAGAAAGAAAGCAAGACTGAAGGACTGCCAGAGGGACTTGGAAATGCTGCCTTCCCGGGATGGCACAATAAGTGCAGGCATGAGTAACCTCATCAGTGGCTGCCTGCAACACTGAGACTTCATATTGGGCCTACACAATTGACGTTCAATCATGGATTGGAGAGGGGCTCAAAGGGCCCTTACTTTCCCTACTGAATTGTTTGCTATTGCAGTATTCTGGTTCAAAATGTCTAGACTGAGTACATGGAATGATTTTCTTGCCATGGGAAACAGTTTCTAAAACTTTTCTTTGATATAACTAAGAAAATACATGCCTTTGTTACAAATTTAAATAAATTAAGCAATATTTGGGGCAGATTTCAAATACAAATTTTGTATTTGGCAAACATTTATCAGGAATTATTTATGTTAACCAAGATAGAATGAATAATAAGATTTCCATATCAAACATACACTGACACTAAATAAATATAATTGCCTATTTAATCATTAATATTAAAATATAAATATTTTACATTTCGAAGTAGAGGGTAAAACATCCAGCTCTTACTGTTACAAGTTTTAAGATCTTTCAAAAAAGGAGGCTGGTCTAAGTATTCTAGAGTTTACTGTTATTAAAACAATATCTTCTGCAGATGTTGTCTAAAGGAAAACAAGTTTTGCAAGAACATATCTTTTAAGAAATTAAGTTACAGTTGAATTTGAACTTGGCAGTTATTGACCATTGGTACCTGCCGAATTTACCTCTCTCCAATGACAGAGAGACAAGCATTACACTGTCCTCTGTGATGAGTACAGGGCAGGCTATAACTCTGACAGTCACACGCTGTGTGTCCTAGATTAGTCATATAGACTAGTCCTTTAGAGTGGAGCTTAGCCAATCTGGATTCACTGCTTAGTGTTTTAGTGTTTCAAATTCGGAAAGCTTTTTCTTTTCCTTTTTTTTTGAGCATCTATTTGACAAAACACACTCAAGAAGATTAATTCAATGCATATTAATCTATGCATATTAATGAAAATCACATCTCAAAGAAAATACTACAAGTAAGATTTCAGAAACAAAATGTTTAATATAAGTTGGCACTATTAATGTGAAAAATCCAATGTTCAGGAATAAGTGACTATTTTGTAAGTGATGATACATACAATGTTTGTTGATAATAATTGAAACACTAAAATATGTTAATCCTCACCTTTATCAAGTTTTTCAAAGGGGTGTGTCCTGGAGAAACTTTGTGAACAAATAAAGTTTCCAAAAGATATCGGATGTAGTGGATGCAGTGGCAGACACAAGCCAGGCTAGAAAATTAACAGATGAATAAATTAGTGAATGGAGTAAAGAATGAACCCTAAATTTCTCAATCTTGACTTTAAAGAAATTGCTTGTTTTTAAAATTTTCATATACCTACTACCTGTTGAGTGTATTCCCTGCCATCCCCAACCCTGTAACCTCTCATCGCCCTTCCTTAATTCAGTAAATATTTTTGTTACCCTTGGACAATTTCATTTCTAATTCTAGGTCATCTATACAGAGAAGTTAGTAAATATTTATAAAATCTAGGATAATTTTAATGTTTCATAAATACTTTTTTATATGAAAATTTCATATAATATATTTTGATCATATTCAGATCCCCCCATATCCTCTCAGATTCACTCCACCTCCTATCCTTTTCACATAAGTTCTCTATTTTTTTTAAGGTCTATGGAATGTGTTCCCCAATGCTCTACAATATGGATCTATCCTCTGGTGTTTGGTCAGTCTACCTAGAATTATCCCCATAAAGAAAACTTACTCCCTTGTCTCAGCAGCTACCAATTGATTATACTTCCTACACTAGGACTTGGACAAGTCTCATTTAAGACTGACAACTTCAGTCTCTTCTTCCTTGCACATTGTATATAATACCTACATCACAAGATGGAGCCCATGTCTGTCATTGTTAGTAGGGTCAAGAACCTGTGACTAGACATGTCACAGGCCATACGGAAAACTTACTGCTATTATTCTGCTAAACTGACATAGTATGAAAATGACTTTTAGTCAATTATTCTTAATTCTATAGATTAGCACATTTCTCAACTCACAACAGAGAAACTGCTATTTGAAGCATATGGTGAATAAGACATAGACCACAACTGATCAATGTGTAGAGAACAGGAACACTTTTAGTTTCAGAGCTTATCACAATATCCTATTTATTAAACTATGTTGTTATGTTAATAAGCACAGATATTTGCTTGATATTTTTCTAGAAAATTCTGATTTTTATTACATAATCATTTCAAACTTCTGTAATTTTACTTCTGATAATACTAGAAATATAATATCGATCATAAATTACTAGTTCCTATATCACCAAGAATAGGTATAACTATAATGATTAATAATGCATTTTGAAGATATTGCCTGGAGATAATGCACAAGTTTTTAAAATATCCAATATCTGTTCACAGTTCATTTGATATTTTCCAATGTCCAAAATAGCTTTGTAATTGTTTGGTTGTCCTTTAGCAACTACTAAGATTAAGAATGTTTGAATTTTATTTTCTATGGTATTATAATGTAGATATCTTTTGGTTGTGGTATTTGTTTTGTTTTGCTTAGTCTACATATTGTTATATTTATCTCTTTATATGCTTGCTTATTTTGTGGTTTAAGCTCCCAGCTCTTGCCATTTTAATATAATTACTGTTTTGAAATTGTCAAATGTGCTTTAGAGCAATACACTTTAATGGACATCCTAATGTATTATCCACTAATATTTCTACTTATTTTAATAGTTGATTGCTTTTAAGAAAATAAGTATTGCTTTTAAGAAAATAATGTAACCAATAGAGGTTAAGTAAAAATATTAACACGACATTTATTCTACATAATATCAGGCACTTAGTTCATTTACCACACACAGAATTTATGTAAATAGACATAGTGTGAGTAGAAATGACTGTAGGGAAAACAAAGTCACCAGACAATCACTGCACACTATGCCAGCACAGAACATTTGAAAATTCAAAACACACCTGATTGTATACATATTGTATAGCATGCATGTTGTGTGTAATATGGCTATGTATCATTAAGAGACAACTTCTCACAAATGGTATGAGAAAGCACATTGTAGATATATAGAGATGAACACTGTAGGCATCAATAAAAAGAAAATACAAAGATCCAGACAGATCAAAGGGAGTTTGCCTTTGGAATTGCTGGATTAATGAAGGAATTTGTAAATCTCCGCACTTTATAACTTCGACGAAGTTATAAAATAATCTGAATAAAGAAGTTGTTCCAAATATAAGAAAGCACATTAGACATAGAAATACAGCAGATTCTTTAGTATGCTATGTTGGTTCAAACTGCAATACCTCCAAATACTTCTTTTTTGTAGACTAGCACAAATGCATAGAAACCAAGACAGCATGCACAGCAAAAGTCTTAGTGCTCACGTCTATGTCACATTGCCTTTCAGGGACAATTACAAAGATCTATTTAATTCTAAAATAATATATTTTATTTAATTATGTCTAACTTTAAGTATGTTTAGCTTCAAAACTCACCTAATGTGAGTTTTTTTTCTCTGACCATTTATAAACTGACTGTGAATCCAATTAGGACTTAATATGTATTCACAATGATAAATTTTAAAATATCAAGGCTATGAGAAACATAAATTTTACCTTTCAGATCAGCAAGAGAGGTAGTCCATTGGACTTGTGTTGAAGAACATAATATAGGAATGTTTTGATTAAAACATGATATTCAGAAAATATTTGCTGATTATGAGATTGTGCAGGAGATTTGCTTTTAGGTCCACTGTACAAGTTTCCCAATGATTCAAATAATTTTGTTGTGCTTGATAAATACATAAATCTGTTTCCTGCATGTTCTAAGTAAAATATGCATTTCATGGATTTCAAAGTAGCCCTTAGACTCTAAACATTTAAATATGCCAGTTGGGTGTGGCACTTAAACTGATCTTTTTTTAAAGATTGATTTATTTTATTTTACTTCATATTTGAGTGTTTGCATGCATCCATGTGTACTACAGAGATCCCTGATGCCTGCAGAAACCAGAATGAATGTATGGCTGAATGTGTGCTGTATGTGAGCCTGGTGCTCGTGGAGGTCAGACAAGAGCACCAAATCCCATAGAACTGGGGTTATGGATGTCTGTAAGTTGCTATGTGGGGCTGAGAACAAATTTCAGGCCATGTCTAGAGTAGAATCATTTCTTTAGCCCCAAATTTGGTCTTTTTAATCTCATAAAATGATATCATTTTGAAATCACGTGCTCTAGAAGATTTGAGAATGTTTTATACATCTCTGCTAACTGCCTACATCTGAAAAGGAAGTGTATGCATCTGCAATGAATTATTTATGTAAACTTAACATATTTGCTACTTTGGAAAATGTTGAAGAGATATATTTGTTACAGAGATGTTATCAAACATGCTGTGTTTGTGTTTAAGAATAGTATTCCTTGTCAGTCAGTTCATTTACGACTGTTGCTAAAACTGCGTCGTTCAAGCTGTGCTATATATCAATACAGGTTGCATATTCACTATTCAAAAAATAAGCATGCTTACTTCCTCCTTCCAAGGGCCTCAGCTCACTCGTTATTTAATTGTATACTCTTTTTAATTTAAGAAAAGCAAAGCAGTTAATACTGTGAAGTTTCCTATGTAAGCCCATGATTACATGGAATCACTTTCCTCTTGCCCCTATATGAATGACTAAACTAGCCATCCTTCTGCTCCCACAATGCGCTAAAAGACTGTATATCACATATTATGTCTATGTGGTCATTATCAGGTTCACTTGCTGATATCTAATGCATCACCTAACATAAAAAATGAATGTAATTTATTCATCCAACTAGTAATTCAATTTTTTTCAGTAAATACTTTTAAAATGTTATGTCATTGTTTGTAATGAAAATAGGATAGGTAAATGCATGCATTGATAAAGCTAAAAGATTTTTGAGGAATTAGTATCCAAACAACCAAGGGAACAAATAGTTTTAAAACATCATTTTTAATGGGACTCATATAAATCATATCAATGGAACAAACTGGAGAGAATACTCAGACAAATTGACCTCTTGTTTGAAGTTTGAATAATTGAAAAGAGATAAGTGATGAGAATAAGGAAAGGCATGATTGGCTATAGTGTGTGAAGGAACACAGCGGCACAGAGGACAATATAACATGACAGGTTGTCAGCATGGTTGCAGTCAGCATCTGTGGTGACCTTTACTTCCTCTCACCACAGATGTTGAGCTGCAAATATGCTGATGATCTACTAATGGGATGTGCTTTAAAGATCTCTGAGGATTTTTTTTGTTTATATTTTATGTATATGGGTGTTTTGCCTGCATGTATGAAAGTGTACTACATGCATGTAATGTCCACAGAAATTAGAAGAACGCATCAGACCCTGCGAACTGGAGTTACAGAGCTTGTTAGCAGCAATGTGGGTGATGGAAACTGAATCAAGGTAATATGTAAAAGCAGTCAGGGTCTCTAACTGATGAATCATCTATCCAGCCTCCTGGGATGTGTTTTAACTAATGGAATTTGAAGTTCAATTAGATTTTTTTCATTATCACAAATTTCTTTCTGTACATCCTAATGTGACATTTTGAATAATTAGACCTCTTGTCTTTCATGTGCAGGTCTTTCTGAGAGACATGGAAGTAGAAGTGGAGGGATTATGAGAGATGGCTTGCTTCCACAGAAGGCTAACTCAGTTAATAAGTATATTTTTAACTATAATTTTTGACTAAAAGTATCAAATAAGACATTTATGCTTTTTCCTAGACAGGTTGTTGTTTCTTTTCCATGCAACATTGCTATATTTAATAATGTCTTTTAAGTTTATAGTTTAAGTTCATTTTTATCTTTCTGAATTACCTCATATGGCTTGTTTGCTATTAAGTTGTTATTTCTAATTGAGGTGTAGTTGATGGTTTGGGGCTTACAGAATTCAAATTGGTTTTTCTTCACCATTCTTCATTAAGTAAAATAAATTGCCCTATAATTTAATCTACCTCAGATAACCAGCCCAATTTTTATAAGTGTAATATTTGCTTGTAAGGAAGTTCTTGGATTTAAAATATATGATTCAAGATTATTCAACTTTACTGCTATATGAAAGCCACATTATTAATTAAAAATTACTGTGATATTTGAATTCTTTTTTTCCAGGGATTGGTGGGTATGTCACAATACTCTTTAGCGACGCTGGGAGGAAACAGTGATGCACAGTCCTCAGTCATGCATGTGACCAGGTGGTAAGCAGCTAGCCGATCCTTTATACCACTCTATGTTGCTAAGATCTGATGTTCTAAGAGTAAGATGTGTTAAATGGGCCCTAACTTATGAGGTTTGCATCTAGTAATGGATTTATGGAGGTATAACCCTGCAATGATTTGGGAAGCATCTTTCACCTTTATGTCCTGCATGTATCACTTACTGTACCACTGGGTGACGTAATCTTCTCGAACTCTCTTTCACATCATATATATAAGAGATCCTCAAATAAAATAAGAGGTATATTAACAGGGGTCCTGAGTATTCTGCCAAAAAGACCTGAAAGTAAGAAATAGATTTAGATAAAATATTTTGTTTTTACATAGATGCTACATAGAAATTAACAGGGTGGATATGATGACACACAACTATAATTCCAGCATTTGGGAAGCTGAGGTAGGAAGCCAACATAAGGCTACCAGCAAGATTCTGGCTCAAATAAAATATATACATGCACATATATTTACATATGTGTGTAAGTACAGATAATGTATGAACCTATATCTAATGAAATATGTAATTGTATATGCCCACACACCTACATATGTATGTAAACATACATATATGTTTGTATGCGTTTCTTCAGTTATATTTCTGATTTTAAAAAATGTATACATCGTGAACAAGAACGGCTTAGATCAAACACAGTTCATTATAAAATCAAATTCATAAAAGAAGTTTTATTTATTTATGGCTTATCCTGTGCCTGACTATTAAAATGCAAAAGATTATTATGCTGGGCATGGTTGTTCACACTTATAACCCAGCACTTGGAAGGCTGAGGCAATAGAATTCGCATAAGTTTGAGAAGGAGCTACATAGTGAGATGTTATCTCAGGAAGAGTGAAAAAGACAAAGAGAGAATGTGTGTTATAAGGAGAGAGACAGATTATTAACCAATATTAATATTCAATGGTAAGTTCCAGTCAATTTTACAATAATGAGAGGGATTATTTCTTGGGGGGGAGTTTGAATTATTTATTTCAATACTAACTGATGTAATAGAATCAAATTTTAGCAAGTTCTAGATATCAAACATGGATAGTGTTGTGGATAATTGTTAAATATGAACAAATGCTACTATATTATAATCTAATAAAATTCTATCAGATATTCTGTATGAAATTCTTTTGGGTCAGAGGAAATTAAACTGCCTTCTTTCTATCATCTTTGAAGTACAGTTCAGGAGAGTATGTTAGCAAACTTGAATATTATTTTTGGAATTCAATATTTTGTCACAGATATTGTTCATATTGAAACTTGGTGGTTAAAATGGGAATGAGATCTGAGGCTTGCATCTTGAGTATACCAGAGACTGACACTGACTTTCTGACAATGCATCCTTTAAACTTTCATTTGGGTGCAAATAAAAGAAGACATGAGAGATATTTTATTAACTGAAGAATATATCAAATATGGTTTTAGTAAAAGAAGCAATGATTGCATAGAAAAGTGGTAGCTAGTAAAATGGAATTAGTCTGATAAAAAATTAAAGCCCTCCAAACACAAAATAAAAAGAAATGAAACAATCTCAAAGAATACACAGACTCATAAGTGCCTGGAAACACCATTATACACAATTATAGCTGGTTTTTATTTTGAAAATACACACCACATTTAAATTACAAATTATTTCTATCACAAAGTATCTTATATATTTATCTTCTTGTCAATCTGCTTTTGTATTGTTTTGTTGAGAATGAATTATTTCAATTAAACAACGGAAATACTTGGGAGCTAAGGAATCTCTTGCAGAGTCTTCAGCTTGGCACATTGTTGTGCCTTGGTAAATGTGGAACATTGGTTCTAGTTCCCCAATGGTCCCTCAACCTGTACAGTCAATTCCCTTGATAAAATGGCATAGTATTTACATAAAACATACATATATCCTGTATACTTTAAAAATCATATCTAGATTAGTTATCTTTTTGATATAGTCTAATGATGTAAAGGCAGGGTGTTGTGGCACACGCCTTTAACAAGAAGACTCACCAGGCAGAGGCAGGGGAATCTGTGAGGTGGATGCCAGCTTGGTCTACACAGTGAGTTCCAGGCCAGCTAGGGCCGCAGAGACCCTGCCCCCCCCAAAAGAAGGATAAATAAATCCTCATATGTTATATTATTCAGAGAATAATATCAAAAGTAAATCAGTATGTGTTCAATGTTGACACAAGCATGGTATTTCTAAATATTGAGAATCAGGCCCATGATTGGTAAATTGTGTGAATGTAGTACCAGCACATAGACAAGGAAATAAAAGACAAGGCTGAGAGTTTAAGATATCTAAAAACTGAGTGGAAGAATATGGAAATGTAACAACAGAAGGTTAACAGAGGAACAATAGAGGAAGGAAATAATGCATGTACACACACATCCACACACTTATGTATATCTATTTGCCAAAGTACAGGTTTATATGAGACTACAAACTAAAAGCTGTATGAACAGAAATATTATTACAAAATTATAAAGTTTGCTTATACTCAAATAAAGCTAACATTTAAAATAATCAAAAGAAAAACAAATCACTGTTAATACTATGCAGACATTTTGACAGAATATACTGTTCTGAAAGCAATTAAAAAGACTTTTTGAAGCAAAAGAATTATATATTTTATAAAACATCCTCTAAAGAGGAATTAATATAAATATAATTAGTATAACAAGAATAATGATAATTTATCAAGGAGAGACTGAATTAAGCTTACAGCTATTCCTCAGGGAGGGTAACCATACCAAACGTAAGCTCAGTCAGACAAAATCCCAAAATATACACAGGAAAGGGGGTAACAATTCCCAACGCAACCTAAGAAACTGTTGGCACTACTGACTGTTGGAAGGATGAAAGATACTATCTCACAGGGATGGAATCTTTGCGGGGCTCAGAGGATAGACCCACCCACACTGAAAGACATTTGGGGACAGAGATCAGGCTCTCTCTCTCTCTCTCTATATATATATATATATATATATATATATGAAAGTACATTAAATTGGGGGGCAATGGTGGGATGTGCAGAGATGAGAGAGGATCTAAATACCATTAAACTCTACTGCATGAAAATCAAAAAACTGAATTATTAAAAAGACAATCTATAGGTCAAATAGGCTAATATGAATAAACTTTGGTCATATAAAATGATAGTAATGTCTTTTAGCTTTAAAATAAGCAGACTGTTAAAAACATAACACAAAGTGAATAAAGAAGGCTTTAATTATCAAGTTCCTGAATTATTTTTAAAGCAACTTTATATTATGAAAATAAATCAAAACAACTTATACAATTACATAGTGTCTTAAGTGTGCATGCTCTAACTTTTCTGTTATTGAATGCATTGTTAAAGGAGTTACAAACGCCAGTATAAAAAACTTACAGAATTAAAATGCCAATTCAAACTCATGCCAAAAAAATCAAAACAGAAAATGACTCTTGTAAAAATGAAGGCACATTAAAAAATTATGTCTGATTATTAAAAATATCATACTTATCATAAAACAAGCTTTTTGTGGACTACAAATCTTAAAACAAAGAACTTGAAGAATGCATTGGACAAATTCCAACTTGGACTAAGCAAAATATTAAAGATACAACAATGCAAACATGGTTCACAAAAGACAAAGTTGTTAAATCACATGGAAGTCCAAATGATGAGTTTTGTACAGTGAAACCTCCTACCAAGATGGAGAGAAATTACTTAGAAACCTTATATTTACAGTACTCAAAACTTAAGGGTGCCCCAGATAATTAAATTATTAGGTTCATAGTTACACACTGAAACAATATAGCAAATTACTGAAAACAATGGAACTTTATATCAAAGAATAAATGTTCAAATGAATTCCATTACATCTAAATTAAAAGGAAAAATATTTAACAGTGAAGAGGAATCAAACACTAACATATGCAGCAATCTTAACTGAAATACTTAAAGAAAAACAAGTGTCACCCCCAAACTATTCCCATAAATATATTGACATGTAAAACAGATTGGTGGCCTCACAGAAGCAACATTACAGAATTCTTTTACTAACATTAACTAATTTTGTATATTTAGTTTAGTGACACATAAAAAGATAGATTAGAACTATGCATATATACACAAATGAATAAATGTAAAATGATAAAAATTAAGAACTTTGTGCAATATTGTTTGCATAATGAGATGTATATTAATATGTCTTCTCGCCAGGTAATTGAGCCAGAAAGTAACTTTTTTATTAATTTCTGACTACTCTTACTTAATATAAAATATTATTTGAATCATTATTTGACCTTGCTCTATTAGTTTAAAAGAATTTATAAAATGCCACATTACTGGAACACATTTTAATATTTTATAAAAGGATATGAATGTTACATGTGGTAAAATATTTCTTTTCTTGTATAATGTAGTGTGTATAAAGTAGGTGTGATTTCAATGTGCGGCGTGTATTTTTAGGATTTAATAGGACTGACTCATTTGGAGCAAAAGAATGTGTGAACCATAGGGCTGATTTAAAAATACCTAGTCTATTTCCAGAGCTCACTTTGTCACTAAGATGACTTTCCTCTCAAATAAGGTGTAATTTTCTAGTACAGTTATCATAGAATTCTCCCTTAGTGCTGCTTCTCTTCAGTGCTTATCCCCATGAAACAGCTGGGTCTTTCTAATGAACTCCTGCTAATGTTTCTCTCCCTGACACAATTCCTTAAACAGAATTAACTTTGCCTCAAAATGTGGCCAAAGAACCTTTGAATATTTTAATCTTTATAGATCATATCTGCCCATCTGAAATATCTTTAACTAAAGGCACATAGATTTTATGTGAAAGTACTAAATGTTTTTATTAAATGCATCTATGAATATTATCATAAACATGAATAAGCTTCACAAAAACTAATAAAAATTTTAATCTTATTAGACTTTTAAATTTGTTCTTAAAAACTCCACAATTGTCTTAAGTGAAAACAAGTATTAATACCGATAAACAACCCTATTTGTATTAGGGGTTACTACCTATAAGAAGGAAGTATGTCAAAAGTAAATTAAGGAAATACCAGATAACGAAAGATCTTATTTGACAAAAGTAAATGTGAACTTCTGTTTAAAGAAATTGATCATACTTAAATGAACATGCATATTTAACAAATTTTATAACTAATTAGCTCATAATTAATTAATTTAAGAAAAGTACACAAAACATTAAAGCCTCAATTTACTGATGGACAAACAAAATAGATCTTGAATAGAAAATATCAAAAGTAAACAAATTATATGCGTAGATTACAAATGTATTGGGGCTGGAGAGATGGCTCAGCAGTTAAGAGTATTAGTTGCTCTTGCAGAGGACGTGAGTTAAATTTTCAACACCGATATGGTGGCAAATAACCATCTGTAACTCCAGTTCCAAGGATATCAGACTCCCTCATCTGACCTCCATGGGCATTGCACGACAGGGGCACTTACAAGCATGCAGGCAATACACTCAGACATAAAAAAAATAATAAATAAAATATTTAAAAACCAATGTAATTCAAAACACATACTCTGATTTTAATAGAATGCATAAAAATGCCTATCGTGAGAAAATAATCAAGACAAAACACCCTATGTTTGAAGATCATTGTCAACATTATTTATCACATTAGAACTTTCCTTACCACCAAAAATCACAGAATTTACACTTGCTGCTGAATTTTTTTCTATTGACTGATTCATGAATAGTTCAATATTTGTAAAGTGGCATCAAGAATTGTCCCTGCCTTTGAGCTCTTCATAACATAGTATTGTCTTTATTTTTTCCATAGAACTGAATTCAAATGTGGTCATTTGGCAAACCAAAGTTTTTCAAAAAATAAATACATAAAGAAAAAAAGCCCACTCATACACCAAAGGAAGTCATTCTTAGTGTTTATATATTAGAATATCCTTTACATGAAATATTCTCCTCCTTCTATTTACAGGGTAAAGAAGTTCTTTGATACCCTGTACTCCAGGAAAGAGAAGATGAAGAGATACTATTCAACACACAAGGCACAAGGTCAATGAATGGAGGCATTTCTTTTACAGAGAATTGCTAGGAAAGAAGAAACTTGCTTCATTTGTTTAACCACGAATTTCCAGTGCTTCAATAGAATGTTGGACACTGAATATTAATTTTAGAGAATTAACAATATGATGAAATATGATATTTGGTTTCACTGTGAATTGATCTGACAGGAATACTCAGTCATTAAACATCATTTGGATTACCTCTCCAGTAGGCCTTCCATTAAATAAATTCCTTCCATTTCAAAAAATACCTAAAAAGTAAAAACATAAAAGCAAAATATGGTGTATGTACATCAAATTCAATTGACACTTACCATGGTCCAACTGACTTGTTGACCAAGGTCTGTAAAATACAGTGTAACAATTGAGGAAGCTGCAACAGTTTGAATGGTGATGTAATCCTTCAAAAAAGGGCCACCTGTAACAGTAGCAATAAAGGTGGTATGTAAATAAAATTTAAAGCATGGTGACAAAGAATTTCTTAATATGAAACTGATACATGCTAAGGATTACTTTTTTATGTGTGAGTTATATTGTTCAAAATCCTGAACCAGTCCATTTAATAAAATATATCCATCAAATTTTCTAATGCATGAAGTTTTCTGAGGCTGTTTGAGAAAAATATTATCTTTAGCTGTTCTATAATGTTTAATAAAATGTAATATAATTTTTAAGAAAATGATTTTTTAAACTCTAATATTATTGTGATGATTTGAATGAAAATGTCCCCTGTAGGTTCCAAATGTTTAGAAATTTTGCCACCAGATGATTGTGATGTTTTGGGAGGTTTTAGAAGGTGTGGCTAACCTGGAGGAAGCATATCACTGGGGGTGGGTTTAGAGAGTTCTTAAGCCTTGCCAGATCTCCAGTTTGCTTTTGCTTCTGCTGCTCCTGTTCCAGCCACCTCCAGCCACCATGTCTCCCTGCCATGACAGACTGTAATTCCCCTGGAACTGTAAGCTCAAATAAACTCTTCTATAAATTGCTTGGGTCAGTGTTTATCACAGCAACAGAAAAGTAAAGAATACAGTAACTGGTACCAGAGAGTGGCTTTTGGCTGTGAAGAACCTGACCATGTGGGATTTTGAAGAAATGTGGAAGACTTTGGAAGGTTGGGCTAGAAAAATGGTTGGTTGCTGTAAGTGGAGCTTAGCAGGCCATTCTAGTAGGTACCTGAAAGAAAGTTATGCTGCAAACAATGTAGTTCCAGAAGGAAATAAGAACTTAAGCAGCAATTTGCATATTTTGGCAAAGAGTGGCTGGAGTCTACCCGCAGCCAAAAAGCTTGCCTGAGACTACGTTGAAATATCATGGACTAATTTTTCTGGTGGAAGAAATTTCAAGACAGCTTAATATAGAAATGGTGACATGGATATTAATGGCGAAAGTATGCAGATCTAGAGTGAAAGAGAGCAAGTGGGGTGAAAGAATTACAGTTTGCATTGAAAAAGAGCATTAGGAAGATGAATGTTGAAGCTTTGGACTGTGATGCAGAGGATCCTATTGATAAAGACATTAAAGTGATTAAGGAGATTAATGTGATTAAGGAGGGGCCTAGAGATTCAACCTTAAACAATGGAGAGAGTGCCTCTAGGGCAAGACCACACCCAGTTAAGCCTCCAACTTGTGAAAGGAAAATGCTGTAGGTACCACTGAAGAGAAAATTTTTCTAAAATGGATAATGCAGGCTGGAGTCCGTCCCAAACTTGCAGTCAAACTTAGCATTGTTGGTCACCTGGTGCTGGCTTACAGTCATGAAAATGCAAGACTGAAGGGGTCATCAGTTCTTCCTCCATGGTTCTAGAGAGCTGCTGAGGCCAGGCAGCATGCAGCAGGGGTTCTACTGCCTAGAGAAGGCCTTGTAGGCCAATGTGTGAAACTGTGAAGGTGAAGCCTGATTGGCAATGGAGACCCCAAGATGTTTGTGATGCCAGAGCTGTGAGGCATCTGCCAAGAAGACCTTCATACAGGGAGTGGTACCAGCACAAGAGAGAGATGTGTGTTACATACAGCAAAGCTAGAACGGCTGAGCCATCTAAGCCTTTTGGAAGTAAAGTCCCAGAAGTTGGACGTGGAGCTACTGGACTTGGTGTTAGCCCTGCTGGTTTTCGGTCTTGTTTTGGTCCAGTGTTTCTTTACTATGCCTTGATTCTTCCCTTTTGGAATGGTAATGTGTATTTGGTTCCACTGTATGTTAGGAGTATGTAATTTGTCTTTTGATTTTATAAAGGATTACAGATAAGATATTTACTTGAGTCTCAGAAGAGACTTTGGACTGTAGACTTTTGAATAGTATTGAGACTGCTAATGACCTATGGGGACTTTTAAAGTTGGACTTAATCCTTTTTTCATTTTATGTGGTCATGAGCCTATGAGGGCCAGGTGGTGGAATGTGATGGTTTGAATGAGAATGTCTCCCATAGGCTCCAAGTATTTGGACATTTTTCCCCAGATGATGGCACTGTTTTGAGAGGTTTTAGAAGGTGTGGCTATTTTGGAGGCAGCATGTCACTGGGGGCAGGCTTAGAGAGTTCTTAAGCCTTGTCAGATCTCCAGTCATGCTTCCTGTGCCTGTGTGATGATGTAAGAGCTTAGCTTCTGCTGCTCCTGCTCCAGCCACCTCCAGCCCCCTCCAGACACCTGCCATGATGGACTATAATTCCTCTGGAACCATAAGCTCAAATAAACTCTTCCTTCTATAAATTGCTTGGGTCAGTGTTTCTATTACAGCAACAGAAAAGTAATGAATACAATTATGCATTAATAGAAAAAAATTCAATATTATTTCAACATTTTTCTTCTACACTAAATTACCACAGTGTTTGTGACATTAATTTGTTGCTCCAGAGCAAGAAGAGAACGGCATGATTTACCTTTAAAAAGAACCACTCTGGGTGCTGCACAGAAGCCAGAAGAAAGGGAGGAATATATATTTTTGGTAAAGCCCTGAAAATTGATGAGTCATGAGCTTGTGTCCATTTAGGCTAAGGTGTAACTGGTGAACATGTTGGTAATTTATTCAATTCAGTTATATTTTGAATATGATTCTAGTTGATAGAACATTTTTTGAGAAGAGAAGATACTGTGAGCTAAGTAGAATTTTTAACCTAAGTGTTTAAATCACTTACAATCTCATTGACTAGCATAAACCCTGACAAAAGATCTGTGAGTGAAAACACATTAAGAATGTATTTGTGTGCATGTGTGTGTGTGTGTGTGTGTGTGTGTGTGTGTGTGTGTATAAAACTGAAAAAGATCTTGCCAGGTAGGCAGCTGGATAGATATGATACAGATTTAGAAAGATATTAATTATTAAAGAATAGTGGCTTGATTTGATTAAGTATTCAGTTAGAAAGGAAAAGAATGGAACCACACAGCTCTCCAATACACAAGGCTTTATCCACAGTAAGAGGAAGGTACAGGAAGAATATCTGGGGAGGAGAAAATAAACCAACAGAATGGATATCTTGGACTATGTAGAAATTGAATTCTTAAAAAGAACATGAATGGGGGAGGGGGTTCTGAATTTGATGAAGAATTGTATGAAATGTACAAAAGCTAAATAAAAATTTTAAAAATCATTGGAAAAGCTGGAATGTTTGTAATGAAAGATCTCTATCTCTATCTATAACATCTATATCTATATCTATCTATATGAATCAATTCAAGTATTGCTTATAATAGCATCCCTTGGTAAAAAGCTGAAATGTTCCTATGGGAAATTATAGATATCCTTTATATTTCTTGTGATTTTCATCCATTTTAATACATGGTAGTCTAATTCACATACTTTCTTTTCTTCTTATAAGTATATTGCATGTAAGAAGAAAAATACTCTCAGTTTCATATCCTAAATTGGATGCATTTCACAGTTATTAGGATATGATTTCTACTATTATTTTCTTGTTGTTTCATTCATAGTTCTTTGTTTTTGAGTTCTATTATCCCTATTATGAAAATTTATCATCCTTTTCCTTATTTTAAAAGAAAGGTCAGTATTAATATGTGCCTATATTAGATCATTTTCAGAATTTAAAAATCTATCAATATGTAATTACATGTGTATGAATTAAAAATTAAAATAAAAGATATGTAGTACTGTGTATTAAACTTTAGAGTTGATAATATGATACATTTGCTTATGAAGTCAGAAAATTTGGATCGATTAAAGGAAAACAATTTTATAGTTAAATATAAAAATAGTTTTTAAATGGATTAAAATTTAAATTTGTGAATTATTACATATTAAATATTTTATAACACCATAAAATGTGAATAAAGTATCGAGTTTAGCTTAAGAGACAAGTGAAGTAACAGTCTTTAATACAGATCTGCAAGGTCACTTACTTCTGTAGAATCCCATAGAATGTGATTCTTAAAGATAAGTGGCTCTTAATCTGTTACTTAGTCTGCAGTTTACATGGATTTCAAGAAGATTATGCAAGTGGACTTGACCTGATCATGTGTGCTTTTAAGGCCAATATGTAGAAGTGAGATTTCAAATGTGTAGTGCATTTGAAATTGTGTGCCATGTTAGCTTGAAGATAAGATAAAGATTATGCTCACCAAGAAGGTAGTCACCTGATGGGAATTGATATTCAGCCACAGAACAAGGACATTTCACATCCAACTGCACAAGACCAACAAGCAAACAAAAGCAAAAGCTTCATCCCCACAACAGTGCCAATAATATTAACAGAGATGAATTAGAGATGTATTCAAAGATTTTCCCACAACATTAAAATCAATCAGCACTTGGTTTTAGCCTTAGCATATCTTGAACAGAGAATGCAGCCATAATGTATTTTTTGGTCTTTTTGAAGCAGGGTCTCCCTGTAAGCCCCAGCTGTCCTGGAACTCAATACATAGACCAGACTGGCCTTGAATTTACAGAGATCCTCCTGCCTATACCTCCCAAGTGCTGGGACTACATATTTGGTGTATATGAGTGTATTGTCTACATGTGAGTTAGTGCTTGGGTGGTGCAATGCCTGCAGAGGTCAAAAGAAGGCATAGGAACCTTTGGAACTATAGTTATGGACAATTGTTATCTGCCATACGGTGCTGGGAATTGAATCCAAGGCCTCTGCAAGAGCCATTAGTGCTTTTAATCACTGAGCCATCTCTCCAGTCCCATCATAAAATTCTTTGTGTGTGTGTGTGTGTGTGTGTGTGTGTGTATGTGTGTGTGTGTGTGTGTGTGTGTGTGTATTCAGAGAGTTATTCCCAATAATGGGATAGACACAGAGTTGTACATTGCATCTAGCTAGTGGTCATGATTGTTGTTTGAGAGATGTTTATAAAGCCTGTATATTTTCATTGAATCCAAAGTTGAAAAGACATTGCTACTCATGTGTTACCTTTTCAATATAGCATTCCAATGAGTGTAAACACTAGAAATTATACAATATCCTTCCATACCACTCCAGAGCATGTATAGGGAGAAATGGAAATATATTACTTACTAGTTTGTATCCAAATATATTATTATAATAATGGCTCTTATTCTTCACTTTTATACATCCATATCATTTACAGTATGACTGCAGTTTCTTTTCTTGACAACTATCATCTCCATTCCTGATCTGCTAAAATAGGGTAGTACAATTGATAATTTTATTGCGCTAAGCTTGGGCCTCAAATTCTTGAATGCCTCCCTGTTATATTTTATTTTTTTTAATTATGTGTATGAATGTATTGCCTGCATGTATGTACATGCATCACATAGGTACAAAACCTATGGAGGTTAGAAAAGGATATTGGTTCCCTAGAACTGTATGGGCATGGCGCTGGTCTCCCGTGCACCGCTGGGGTGCTGCGGGTTGCGCACCACATCTGTTTTTCGGGTCCCTGGCTCTCCGCTGCTGGGGCGGGTCTCTGTTTCTCTGCGTTGCTGAGGCTCTCCGCAGCTACCGGGGCTGGCGGCTCTAGAGGACCACTGTCAGCTGCCCGGGCGGGTTCTGTTCCAAACTACCGGGCACTCCCTCGAGGTACGAGATCCGCTGGCCGCAGGATCACGTGGGAAGTGCTGGAACGGCGAGAGCAGAATCTCAGCGAGTCATTGTTTACTAAGAGACAGCCCCCTCCCGGGAGATGCAGGATTCAATGATACAGCTTCAGACACAGCTTCTGATGCAACTCTGATTTATTAAGGGGAAACCAGGATATTTATACTGTGGTGTCAGTGGCAAAAGCCTTAGTTGATAGGTGCTTTTAGAATGCCCCATTTACATGTGGTGGTGGGCTTCTGCCAGGCTGTCAGACGTTGCCTGATTATCACACAGGAAAACCTGGCAGTTCCTATGCCAGAGGCCATGTATCTGTGATGGCTACTTCAAAGATGAGTCAGGAAGAGAGTAGGGGGTGCCCTGCTGAGAAGAGGAGTCCTTCCATTCATGCTGAGCCGGCATGCACTATCCGGACATGGAAAGACTACAACCCAAAACAACAGGAGTTCCCAACAGAACTGGAGCTATGACAGTTGTTAACCTCCATGTAAGTGCTAAAAATTGAATACAGGTCCACTGGAGAGCAGCCGGTGCTCCTAACTTTTGAGCTATCTCTCCAGTCCCATGCTGTTCACTTTTTCTGGAAGCCTTCTTCTGCTTTGTAAGGCCTGCGTAGTCTGTTAAATGGGTATAGGTAACTTAGGATACAGAGGAGCTGATGCTATTAAGTTCATGCTAAAAGGTGAGCGCAGCTGAAAAAGTGAGTTCAGCCAAGTTAAGGTTATGACAATCAGTTAGTAAAACCATTGGGCCAAATAAATTCTTAAAACTTATACCTAAGATAAATGTTTAGTATTTTATTTGTTTTAAAAATGTTTGTTGTGTGACGAACTTGCATAAGACTACTTTCACATGAGATAGTGATTCATTAAACAACTAATCTGCTAAATATATTCTGGGGACATATATCTGCAATTATTTTGATTTTGCTTTTTGTGCACATTTTTTCTTCCTTTTCAGTAATAGTTATTACTATGATTGATCAAGATTTAAAACATTAAATAATTTATAAGCATAATAAAATTACCACTTTAAATTTTATTGAAGTTTAGGGCTGGATAGATGACTCAACAGTTAAAGAACATGCTGTTTAGTCCAGAAGACCTGATTTAGTTGCCAGCAATCCTGTTAGGCTGTTCATAACCTGCTTCCATCCCCAGGCAATCCAACTTTTTCCACGCCAGACACCTGCACACAGATGGCATACATGCACACACACACACACATACACACACACACACACACACACACAGACATTTAAGTAGAAAAATGGGGGCCTGGATAAAGGTCTCAGGCACTAAGGGAGCTGTTGGCTCTGACAGAGGACCGGGGTTCAATTCCCAACACCACATGGCTACTGAAAAGCACCTGTAGCTCTGGCTCCAGGTAATTCAATGCCTTCTTCTGACTTCAATGAGCGTGGTTGCACTTACATATAGGCAGGCAATACACTCATACACGTAAAATAAAAAATGAAAATATTTCAAAATAATTGATTTCAGGGCTTGAAAGATGGCTCGGGGGTTAATATCACTGGCTGCTCTTGCAGAGGACTCAGGGTTTGATTTGCAGCACCCACATGGTGGCTAACAATTTTCTGTAACTCTAGTTCCAAGATATCCAATGCCCTCTGTTGACCTCTGTAAGTATTGTACAACAATGGTGCACTTACCTGCATGCAGACAATAGACTCACACATATTTAATAAAAAAATTTAAAAATGACCTTTTTTCTTAACTGCATTACAAGAAAAGTCCTAAATTTGGTAACTAGAAGATTCAATTAAAGTTAACTTAAATAAATTTCTCTTTGTACAATACACAGCTTCTTTCAGTGAGTTAGCATCACACACCCCATCCCCCAAAATCATCAGCTTTCTATCTAATAATTTACAGTCCAGATCATATCAAGGTACCACCAACCAGGTAAATAAACTTGAGGAAAAAGTAAAATGTCCTGTTCACCTGAGGAGTTGAACTAAACTAAATTATTCAGTGCTTTGGAGTGTCCTTTAATTTGAAATTGTGTGTGACACTGATGCCTGTGGCATTCTCATCCAGTTGACTTTGTGCTAGAGACAAGTTCAATAATGAATACTATCATTTCATTCCTGTATGTACTACAATGTGGAGGTTCAAAAAAGGCTATGGCTGACTTTCCTCCCTTAAGTCTAGCCAGGTGGAATTTGAATTGGATATTTGACTAAAAATATTTTGAGAAAATAAAAGAATGAATTCTAAAAATGGTATGGATTCCTATATTTTCAATATACGGATTTCAGTGAAAGACGAAAGCTTTAAGAAACCAGGGCAGCCTTAATAAAACATTTAGAGAAAGAGGAATTTATTTTTTGAGTTGCAATAATGTTTGAGATTGAAGAGTGGGAACATGAGTAAAAGCCTTAGAAAAAGCACTGTATTGTTTAATAAAATGATTTTGAGATGGTAACTCCTGATGAAGCACTTCTCCTGTGCGTACTATTAGTAACTCTGACAATGCAATCTCCGTGCCTTGCAGAAAACCAAACATACATTCTAGCTTCAGCTTTAATTAAAAATGAAAGCTTAAAATTTGAAGTCCAGTTGATGCAGTCAATAATGTGATAATATTTGTTCTTAACTGGGAACCATTTATAGAATTGTGTGTTGAAATTCCGGAGAATGTGATATTTAAGAGTGCATGTTTGTATTTGCTTCAATTTCATTAGGTTTTGCCCTTTATTTTACCAATTCTGCCTTAAATAAAAGTTAAATCAAGACATTTGCCGGAAAATGATGGAACTGGAAATTGTTATGTTATGCAAAGCATGCACTATGTTCCTGAGCCTGCATGCTTTCTTTCATTTCTGAGTCCTAGATATTATTTTTCTATTTACATATGTCTCTCCCTGTCCTTTACCTCCTAAAAAGATACAGGGGAGGGAGGGATGGATGGTAGAAGAGAGAGAGAGAGAGAGAGAGAGAGAGAGAGAGAGAGAGAGAGTGTGTCCTAGTGCTGGAGAGATGGTTCAGCAGTTAACAGCACTGACTGTTCTTACAGAGGACCCAAGTTCGATTTCCAATACCCACATGACAACTAACAACCATCCACAAGCCTTCTTCTGACCACCATGGGCATTGCAGGACATGGGTGCACTTACACACAATACAGTCATATAAATAAAAAATAAAAATAAGTACTTTTTAAAAGGAGTGGTGGTAGCAGGAAAATGACCATTTGGAGTGTTACAGAGGGACAAGGGAAAGGAGTCATGGAAGAGGATCAATGAAAACAAGCATTTATGAAAATGCCAAAATGAAATACATTGCTTTGTATGCTAATTTTTAAAAGTCTAGTTGAACAGAGAAGAAATAGTTTGGAAGATTCAAAGGAGATGGTATTTACATATTTATTCTAAGTGACAAATGTGAGCTATTGAAGGTAGAAGAGTTTTTTTTTTAATTTAATAAATTGATTAATGACGTGGCTCTTACCGCATTCTAGTTGTAGGCCAACTCGAGAGGGGTACCACTTTGGACCTATACAATAAAAAATAAAAATAAAAATAAATCACCAACAAATTTACAGTTTAAAATTAGAGAAGTTGTTGTGGGAAGACAGGATCCATGCTGGGAAGGCAATAAAATACTTATACACAGTCAGAATTACAAACACTGTTACTCTTGGAAGGATGCCGACAAGAGATATGGGTAGTGGCTAGAAGAAACCAGAATTTTTGTTAGGTAGGTGTGTTCAGGTTATGGCATGTACTAGTCTGTGCAGCCCATGGCATACAACATAATTCACATAATTTTTCTTCAATACATATTCAATATGTTCAACATATTTATTTAAAGATGATGAACTTTGAACTTTTATTCAGATCCTCTAACTTTTGAACCAGTAAATGGGCCATCTTCTCTACAGGAGTAAACTGCTCCATCAGAATATTATCTACAGATATAAGACACACCACCCGAATGACATCAAAAGAGTAAAGCACACTCTCAGAATGATATGCATTATTAAATTGAGTATTGTTGATATGTTAATTATAGCAGAAATTTCAGTTCACTATGTTCCTTTTTATTGCCTGGAATTGATAGAATACTGTATTCTTTATAGGAAACCTAGACATCTTTTTAATATACTCCAATACTGGAAAACTGCTTCAGCAAACTAGATGATAATCTGTTTCTTTTAAAAATATATTGTTCAAAAAAATCACCAAATGTCTATTGAGACAAATGTTAAATGATTTCTATCTTATGTATAACAAACTGAATATTTGTGTATCTTCATGGGAATATTTTTCAATTAATAGTTTTTCCAAACATCACATTTAAAATTCTCAACAGTAGTAAAAACAGCCATTGCAAAAACCTGAAGCCCAAGCCTTCAGGAGATTGAGACAGAGGGGTTGTGAGTTCAGTGCCAGCCAGAGGTGCACACCAAGACCCTGTGCCAGAAAGATAAATAAGTAAAAAGTAAATAATTAAAAAGAATGGTGAGAATGTGATATAATAGAATACAAAAATAGATTCTTCCTGAAATTACTTCAAAAGGGCAAATTGTATGTGAGGTTTCCCATGGGGGAAAATAAACTCCCAAAGCAGAATTATAACCACAATCTAAGGCTGTTTAGGCTTATTCATAAACAAAATGTAGGGGTGGCAATTACTAACACAACAAAAAAATACTCTGACAATGTATCATTTTTAGCAGTTCTGCAAATGAAGACGTTTCTGTTTTGCTTGTGCATTGACTAACATTCTGGTTATTTCTTATATAGCCATTTTTTTGTTTGGCAATGTATACTAGCATTACAAATTGAAAAAAAAATATTTAAAGTTTGCTACAGTGTGAACCTGCTTTCAAATAAGATAGGATGAAAATAAATGCTACAGTAAACAGTTTTAATTGAATTGTGATCAAACTTTAGCCATTAAACAAAATATAAGCCCATGAGAATACAGTTATATCTGACAAACAGTAATTGAGACCTCATGATAGCTGTATATAAGCTGACAAGTTCTATTTTAATAATATGCATTTAAGCCATTGCTTCCATAGAACTTTAGAGTGTCTTTTTTGATGTAAATGTAAAAGTCAAAAATAACAATCATTCTAAGCAAATAACATTGCCTTAAGAACTAGATGAGTTGGAGTCATCTGAAAAAGGTCAGAAACGATATAGTGTATAAAGAATAATGCAGGTAAGCATCATAAGGGTTTTTAGTACACCAGAAGAGATTGAAAGACATCAATAGTGCTGATTAAATTTGGAACATGCTGTCAGTGTTGACTCATGAGTACAGGAGCACCTCAGATGTTAGTGAGGGCATCTAATATCATTCAAGACACTGAGCTTGCTTTATAAACTAGCTAGTCTCTTCTGACATGTCTTAGAATTCTTTCCTTGATAATGGGAAATGGTCCTCTCACTATGCAAAACAGTATGAATGAGTGACTTCTTACATAACTCAAATGTATTTTACTAAAGTAGTTATCGACAAGGATCCATTTGAAAAAGAAATAAGGCTAAAATAATATCTATATACCTATTACACTGTAGCAACTTTATAAAACAATGAATGTGGAAAACCAGTACGATAGATATTAATGTAAAATAATTATCTATATTATGGAATTTTATGACAAATGATATAACAATATAGCATGTGTTCAAAAAGACTAATAATATTTTAGCATTGTAATGACATTCACAGTAGTAAAATTAACAAAAAAGTTATAATTGAAAATACTAAGCAAAACAGTGCATCTTTTAACAATATTTTATTTATTATTTTTATTTTATGTGTATGCATGTATTGCCTGCATGAAGGTAAATGTATCTGTGTTGCAATGCCTGTGGAGGACAGAAGGAGATGTCAGATCCCTTAGAACTGGAGTTATGAGCAGCTGTTAGCTGCCATATGGGTGCTGGGATTTGAACTCCGGTCTTCTGCAAGAATGGTTAGTGTTCTTAACTTCTGAGCCATCTCTCCAACCCCAAAATAATGCATCTTAAACTGAGTGTGCCTTTTGTCTTGTAGAGAGAAGTATCATTAATATTGTAAATGTTAAAATAAATGTAGGAAGCAGACTATTAAAATCCAATAGAAAATAATTTTTAGAAAAATCTCTTTAGCTCATGAAATAAACTATTTCATTTACAGTAACATTCTAAATCAGTTCAAAATAGTTGGAAATGTAATTGAAAAACTATCTTGAGCCTGGTGAATCAAGGTGTGTTTTAAATGACATGCCATTCATGAGATTCTTGTAAGAGAAGCAATAAACTGAGCTAATAAAGCAAGCACATTAGTAGAGTCATACCCACAAGTTAGAGTAAGAAATTAACGTTCATAAAAGTAAAAGATAATAATCTTAGTTTGTTTAAATTAGATGGAAACATGCCAGAGCTTTACACCTGTGTTTAGATTCAGTGCTTCAAAAGACATACCAAGTAAGAGACCATTCATTGAAAGTGTCAAACTTAATCACTAGTGATGGTTTTCATGTGCTGTTTTTGGAAGAGTGCATTTGTTCATTTAAAGAAGAAGATGCTTAGAAGATGAAATCCATGCTTAATGCAACCATAAAAATTTTAAATGAAGCAGACAGAATTATTCAAAAGAGAAGTTTGTGGTATTAAAAATATGTGCAGTATGTTTAATACAGTATATAGTCTTATATTGAATAAGAGTGCACAATAAAAATTCTTAAGCTATATTTCTATTTTATCATTTCATATTACTTTTTATTTCTGATGGCTTTTCAGTTGTACTAATAACACATAAATGCATATATAAGACATCGTAGCTTGTTTTTAAAAACGATGAATGCCAAAAATCAACATGGATAAAAAAATAATATGAAGTCAATATAGAAGAACAATTTATATTTTAAAAATCTATTAGGAATAGTATAAACTAAGAATGTGTATATAAACATAGGGACATAAATTGTGAAGTAAAGTAGGTAACAAAAACATAGACATAAAAAGAATAAAAACACTTTTCATCATGTTTACATAAATATTAAATAGGTAAGTTTAAAATATATTTACTAAAAATCATTCATTATAACAAAAAAATCTGTGAAACAAAAATATGATGAAATTAATTCCTTAAATTTTGACTGAACAGTAGCCAATGATCTACACAAACTTTACCAAATTCCTTAATCAGCCATTGAGGTTTGTATTCTTTTAATACTTGTACATTTTCTAATTCCGTTAATTGGCAACAGGAAGAGCAAAATAGGAAAGCAAAGTTAAGGAAATTACTTTTTACCATTATTTTTTGTTTTGTTGTTTAAATTTGAGACTCCATTAGGATTTGTAGACAATCAGTTTATCATATTTGTACATTATGCACATTAATGTTTTTGAAAGTTAGACATCTCAGCAGCAAATGCAAAGAACAAAAAGAAGACACTATAGCTTCCCTCTGATAATAGCACTGTCTCTATCACCTGCTGTGCCCAGCTTCTGCCTGGAAATTCAGTGCAGGTTTGTCACGTCAACATTTTATTCAGTTCCGTTTTCTTGTACACGAAGATGTATAACTGCCCTTTGAGGAGACATTACATAATTCCTTTGTTGTGCCCAATGACAGATTATTAATATCTGCATGGATTTCTCATCATCATTCAGCATCGACCAAATTAAAAATAACCAAGGACAATGTGACAAAATAGTATGTATTTAATTGCTCGATAATTTAATATATGTGCATATTTTTTGTTCCAATTAGTCCCTATTTCTTCCCTTCAATTTTCTCTTACCTCCCCCTCACCTATTTTAAAACCACTGAGTCCACTTAGTGTTGTCTGCATGTGAAGACCCAATAACCTGAATCTGTTAGAGGAGGAAGTAGGGAGTACACATGATCTTACTGTACAGGAAAGGGTTTTTAGAAGAGTATCTCAGTAGAACAATCATTGACAGATGGGGCCACATGAAGCTAAAAATCATCTATGCAGAAAGGGACACTAACCATCATTCCAGTAAGAGGAAGCCTACAGAATGGGAAAAAATATCTTTGCCAGCTATACATCTGACAGATGGTTAGTATCTAGAATATACAAAAAAAGTCAAGTAAACAAACAACTCATATGATAATATGATTATAATACATGACTCTATATTAATATAAATGTTTTATTGAATAAATGGTGGGAAACAATATATGTGGATGCTTCTCCTCCACGAAGAGGAGTGTTGCCTCCTCTCATCACTCAAGTGTGGGCTAGACTTGGCAACTCAATTCCAGAATAGAGTGTGGGGAAAGGTAAATTAATTCTATTTCTAACTTAAAAATTAAAAAGTGAAAGAAGTAACTAGCAAGAACATATATGTATATATGTATACTACATCCCATATGTATATCTAAAAATATTTCGGAAATGAGACTAAACATAGAGTTCCCAGAAGAAGAAATACAAATGACTAGTTTGCTCTTGTTAAGAGACAATTGGAGTCAAAATATGCAGAGATGACTTGGGGTTAATGATGTGGCTCAGTGAAAGAATG